CTTGTACCATATTTCCGATCAAAATTTATTTGTGTGCCATACTGTGAATACCCTGAGTTGTTGGTGGTCGAGTTCAGACTATTGCCACTTGTACTGTTGAGGGTGGCATTGTTGTGACGTTGGTTATCAGTGTGTGCCATGGTGCTATTTCGCACGTTGTGGGTGCCAATACTATTGACCGTGGGGAGTGTGGGCTTATTTATACTGCCATTGTTGTTGTTGGCATGATTTGGGGTCATATTTTCCTTTTTTCTACCAATGGAGTTATGAGTAGGAGAGGACAGGGTCGACTTTCGGTGGGTTTCGACTTTTTTTCCGGGATTATTTAGTGACATGTGCATATCTACGGTGATAGGTGGTGTAGTTTTATTGGCTATTTGATTACAATTTAGTGGATTTTCGGTTGGTGTCTCTCTCTGAGAGGATAATTCTGTGTGGTTTGAGAGGGGTGGTGCGGTGGATTCTACGATATCTCTCAAAGGGTTGGGTATAATTGCTGCTTGCAATGTCCTATTGTTTATTCCACAATTAGGCTCAGTGAGATAATTGTATGCGCGCCTTTCTATGACTGTCTTGTCCACCGCAACCTTTATTAGTTTGTAGTTTCTGGCTGTCGATGGGGTGTGTTGGGAGTGGATGAATTTTCTGGCCTCTGCCGGTGTTTCGAACTGAAAACGAATAGGACAACACTTTTCATGTTGACTCTTCTTCAGCCTATAGCACTTAGTCTTGGAGTTGGGCATTTTCGCCTCACTAAGTAAGATGCGCTGTACCTTTTTTAGTGCCTCATTATCCGGAACGTTGTAGACAATAGCATTTAGTTTAGCATCGAGTCGTTTTGTTACTTCTGTAGTAACAAAGTTAATGAGGTTATCCACCTTAGATATCGATTCTGTGTCAAGTTTGTTAAGGTCTACAGTTTTAATGAGGATAGTTAAAGGTGTCAGCTCACAGACCTGCGATCTGATATCGCTGATCTGATCTGATAATTTGGATATTTCGGTATTGGTTTCAGAAATTCCAGGATATACTGACTTATTGTTTTTTATTTCCCTTGACTCGGCCTTAAGTTCTCCTATAGACAACTTTAGAAGTTCTATTTCTGAAGATAGTGCTGAAACAGAGCTTGAAGGCTAGAGTTTTTCGATAAGCACATAAGGTGAATGGAGGGTTTCTGTATGAGCAGAGGGTACTGAATTTTTAGGAGCAGTGCCAATACTAGCTGTCAGTACAGTTTTATCCTCAGTTTCAGCTCGACGCTTACGACATATTAGTGAGTTATGTGGCACACTATAACCGTTTGTAGGGAGTGTGTTGCTTGATGTAGCAATCAAGGACGTAAAATTAATCATCAGTTTTACAGGGGACTCAGTTCGTTGCTTTTTACTTTGATTAACCATAACTATTTGCTATAAGAGTTAAATAAATAAAATAAATAAATTTATTCTCATAGTACAGTACATGAGGGACGCCATTTTACAGGCATCATCAAATTGTTACAGAAATAGAACCATATAATTCGATCACAATTTACAGGCAGTAGCAAGATATGCTTTACATGTTCGTTGGAGATTATACATACACTTAATAAATGTTAATCCCGGTAGTATAAAACAGCCTTTTCACTTATATACAATCATTTCTGTGCAAAGTTGGAAAAATCTGCTAGATTGTCAGTGAGTGCAACACATCAGGAAATACAGAAGTATTGTCTTCGCATTAACAAAAAAAACCAGGTCTTTGGTGGATGGATTATAAGTGCCTGGGAAAAAAATAAAGCTTGAAGTAAATATTCATACATAACTTTGTTGTGTGCAGAGTCCTCGAATTATAGTTCATTGATGTGTTATTTTGAAATCAGTGATGTGTTTATCTCATTTGATCTGCAATGTCATTGTTGGGAGTAAGTACATAAGCTTCGGACGCATTAATTAATGGATTTCTACTGCTTGTGGGTATTTTCTTAGCGTGAGGAAGGTTTATGAAATTCAGCTGTCCCGACAGGAGTTGAGAATATTAACTGTTC